TTATTACACTGCGCAAATCGGATGAGGAAGGGTTGGCTCTCCAGTCTCCATAGAACTTAAAATATTCATTTTATTTTAGTTTTCGTGTTCGCATTTATGAGGAAAAAACAATGTTACAGACGCGACCGCTCTGAACTGGCACTAAAAGACTGCTTTAAAACTTTCACATAGTCTGTTGCCTTTAAGAAGTAAAAGCAGACAATACACTGTAATACAACTGTAATACAAGCCTCACTGAACATGTAACGAGTAAAATATTACTGAAAATTGATTAGTAATGCCTTACACTACTGCGTTACAGCAAAAAGTAATATGTTACTGTAATGTATTACTTTTGTAATGCGTTACTCCCAACACTGCTTATCAATGTTGAAATCTGTTATGCTTTTGTGGTATCCGTGATCTATTTTTTTCAGGATTCTCTGATGAATTGAACAGTATTTATTTGAAATAGAAATCTTGTTTTACTCTCACTTTTGATTACGTGACGTGACGGCATCCTTGTGTTAATTTCTTCTTTTTCATCATCATCATCATCAAAAAAAAAAAAAAAACAAATAGTACTAAACCCAAATCTTTGAAACTGCAGTAAATTTGCACCCTCTATGACAATGAACTGATTTGAACCTATTACCAAAACCATAATAGTCCTTGGTGTATAAATTATGCACATTGCTCACAGTAGGTGGTTTGAAGTCTTAAATGTATTGTTGAAGGTAGTGAATTTGTCATATATGTCAAGAGTTTTACCATCTTTAGAAGTTATTGTGAAATAGGCATGATAAACCTTTCTCTGATAAGTTGTATCCTCAATTTCAGCCTCTTTTTGGATTGTCGCCTAAACAATTTTTTTAAAGCGACAAATATATACAATTTTACTGGTCGACCGCACTAGTCACTACTGAACTGACCATGTTGATCTTACTTTCAAGAAACAAATGACAACCTATTTTATCTGAGAGCTAAACTGTCAGATCTTTAATTACAATGCGAACAGAAGATTTTTACAATGCGAATTGCGAACAGAAGGGTTTTCCCTGTAAATGGCGAGGGCCATCAATAAACTCTTCTGAGATGCTTTGTAAACACTGCTGGTGTTTTTGTGAATTGTCATGTTGCCTGATATCAAAGCTGAACCCTGTTGCTTTTTGCTGTCTGTAATCACGATTCAGATGTGCAGCTGTCTTTGCACTGTTGAGGGAATTCACTAGCATTTGGGGAAACGGGTACATTTTATCCAGGGATAGAGGAAGACTCTGCTCAGTAAAGGTTTCGATCTCGTGTTTCTGAAGCTCACAATCCAAAACCATGTCAGAGATGGTCACCGAGTCTTCCTTTTCTGAACACACACACACACGGAAGGTTATTAGAAGTATCAAAGGTTTCAGATGACATGGGCCTGAGGAAGATGACATCACCAGATTTGCAGGAATTCACTGTATGTGTGTGTGTCATGTGAGGCTGGGAGGTTCAACAGAACAATGTCTAGTATTTTTACTCGGTTCACTGACATACAAGATAATAGATAAACCTCTATGCAACCTGTTAGGTAAGATATATATTTTTTCAGTTATCTTTTATGACGGTAAAATCATTTAGCATGAAGGAAAATACAAATTTGACAATACTGCTTTCATAAAATGTTGACAGTAAAAATAAACAGAAAGCAATAGTAATACAAATAAATAAATAAATTTCATATATACTGAAATTATACCTGACAACAGACGAAAAACCTGACAACAGACGAAAAATTAGCGTAAACAACAGTATAGCATATGCAAATGGGAAGATGCATAACAGGGGATGCCCAGAATGTCGGATGACTGCTCACAAGGCTATCAGCTCCAACGTGTCTTACATTTTAAAATGCAGAAAATGAGAGACGCAAGGTTGTGGAATGAAGAAAAAGAGCAAGCTCTGCATCTGAAATCGAATACTTCTCATAAATTATGCAATAAACAGTATTCCAAAAGAGTAGCATGTCCGAATACTTACTACGTCTGCTGAGATTCTGGAGTTCTAATTTGCATGCTTTGCATCACCAAACAACACTATGCTACTGGCGTATCAGAGGCAGCCAATGAGCATGAAGATTCTCTTCGACATTTAGTAAAACATTGCAGGTCACATCATTTCCACATGGCAAACACAGTAGTATTATGCATATAATATGTTCTTATGTGAGTGTGCACCATTCAAATAACTCTTCACACACAAAAAAACACAATATACTTTTTAAATTAGCACCAAACTACTCAATGCACCTTTAATAGCGGATAGTTTAATTTTTGCTGACACAACAATGCTGATTGTGTGGCATCACACACAGCATGTTGCCCTCAATGTGGGGAGGCGGATTTGCTATTGTAGATGCTGGAAACTTAATTAGGCCAAGTTACTTTTACCTTAAACGTTATTTCTCCTGTTAGTCTTGGTGCACGTTTTCAACGAGTCTCTCGTCTTGTAGAAGGATTATTGTCAGAGCACAACCCCTTTCACCTCTCGTCCCTCTCATTCTTCCCCTCCCACCCTCATGTCGCAGGGCCCCCTTGCTTTCCATAACAAAAGCCTGTCTAACTTGAGCGTGTGTGAGACGTTTGCATGGCAAAGGGAAGCTGCTTGTGTGTGTGTGTAAGCTGCCTCCACAATTACCCCATCTCTGTGTCCCTCTGAGCATTTTGACGTGTCAGGTGTCACCGACATCTGTGCAAATGAGCCGGGGTTTTTTTGTGAGTAACCTTTTTTTTTTTTTAATCGAAACACTTAGGGTCTGTTGCAGATCATCTTCCTGCAGAATATTTCTGTTTGGGATTCTGTTCAAGTTCAAAGCACGCATGTTGTTGTATTAACAACAACCTTGAAGCAAAGTTTTTTAATGTTTCCTTGAAATGCATCACACTTGCAGAGTGTCCACATTTAGAGAGCTAATTTAAGTTTGCACATGCTGGGATGTTTTTCGTTAGTTAACTGAGGTAATTGGAACGCTGACACGAAATCGGAATTCTTCGATTATGAGCTAAGAGTTTTTGTGGCGTTCGACTCGTACACACACACACACACATTGTTGTCCTTTTGCCCTTTTTCTTACCCCCTCCCTCTTCCCCTTCTTTTTATTTTAAAGACCCCCAGCTGGAAAGCTGAGGTTTTTGGCCACAGTGTTTGTATGCTTTCTGCAAGCAACACATAGTTGCACTCACCAGAGAATTGGCTAATCAAACTTGGGCCTGTGTTTCTAGTCAAGCTCTGGAGATTTGGGTTTTGAAGCGCATACAGGCCTTCAGAAAGCTTTCTCTTCAAAGAAACACGCACGCATGCTTTCACCAGAACCATTGACAATAGCAATTCTAATGGATATTTACAGGTCTGAAACACAAGGACATGTTTTAAAAACATTTAACTGTGGTATTGGACTTTAAGCAGATAAGTGAAAAGCTGTCGTTTTTTATGAAAACACTTAACAAAAATGTAATCTTGCCTGTTTCAGTAATGGATTGGAGTTTTTTCTATGATAATGCTATATCAAAGTTTATTTAAACCATGTCAGGTTACTTGGCAGCCAGAATCGGGCAGCTTGTCATGCAATGGGGAAAGACCAAAATCGGTTTGTCGAAATAATAACATTTCAATAACATACATCAAATCAAGATTAAAATCTGACATCAATGGTATGATATACTTTACTGGTTAAACTCAGATCACGCTAAAAACATTTGTGCCTTTCCAGCTAATGTGCAAGATTGTTCTAGGGCAAAAGAACAAAACAAATGATTAGTTGTTTTAATTGTAAGGTAGCACTTTCTTTCCTACAGCCAATGCATTGAGGGTTTACGTTTCTTCTCATCCTTATTCATATATTCACGTGTGGGCCGTATACCACTTAAAGGAGTAGTTCACTTTTACAAAAAACTTTTGCTGATAATTTACTCACCCCCATGTCATCCAAGATGTCCATGTCTTTCTTTCTTCAGTCAAAAATAAATTAAGGTTTTTGATGAAAACATTACAGGATTTTTCTCCATATAATGGACTTCAATGGGAACCAAACGGTTCAAGGTCCAAAAGACATTTTCAGTGCAAATAAGGGTCTTATCAAGCGAAACGATCGCTCATTTAAAAAAAAAAAAAACTTGAACAAATCTTTTTCCGAGTCAATTCGTTCATTTCGTTCGTTGAATGAACCAAATGACACGAAAAAAGATTTGAAGAGTTCAGATGCAAAAGCCTCTAAATGCCATTTGAAATTTTCTTCTTTAATGATGATTTTTATCAAACTTGTATATTTTATTTCATTAATTTCACTTAAATAACAATTAATAGGTAATTATTATTGCCATTTAAGTGAAATTACTGTACTTAAATATACAAGTTTGATAAAAATCATCATTAAAGAAGAAAATTTCAAATGGCATTTAGAGGCTTTTGCATCTGAACTCTTCATTTGTTCATTTTGATAAACAAGTTCGAAAAGGAGTGTCACGAACGCACATCACAGAAAAGAGAAAGGCGACCATCTGAGCTTATAAAACTTAAACTTTTTTTTTTTAAATGACCCATCGTTTCGCTAGATAAGACCCTTATTCATCGTCTGTAATCATTTGAAGCCCTTTGAACAGTTTGCAGTTTGCACTGAAACTGTCTTTTGGACCTTGAACCGTTTGGTTCCCAGTAAAGTGTATTATATTGACTGAAGAAATAATGACATGGATATCTTGGATGACATTGGGGTGAGTAAATTATCAGCAAACGTTTTTTTCTTTAAAAGTGAACTACTCCTTTAAGTTAGAGGTGGATGTCTGTTAGTGAAATGGATGTGCATAAGTAATCGATTGGTTGAGATTTTGCACGTTATTAAATTTGAATGCGCATTTTAAGCTGACCTATTCAATCACTTTGCTTTTAATTATGTGTCCGAGTGTGTGGCTACAGAATTATTCACAATTCCCATTACTCTCTAATATTTTCTGTCTCATGTGTTTCTTTTCCTTCTGTGATTTCAGAGAAGCCATGCGAAATTACCTGAAGGAACGAGGAGACCAAACCGTGCTCATCCTCCACGCTAAAGTTGCACAGAAATCGTACGGCAATGAAAAAAGGTAAATGACCACTGTGAATCTTGATAAATGCACGGGATGAACTTTTGAAAATCACATTTTAAACTTTTTGACCGTTTAGCGGGCGTAAATACAGCATTTACATCTTTCTAATAATTATTAAATCTTTAGTAGTTGCAATGTGTCTCACTTTTCTTTCAGAATCTTATGCCATGAGCTTTGCAATTTTAAGGCGCATTAAAAATAGTTCCACTTTTATCCCCTGTTCCATTCCTAAGCTCTCCATCTGTGTTTTTGAGCACAAAAACGTATCCCATGTGAAACCCCTTATGCCTAAAGTAGGAAAATTAGGGTTTTTAGGGAAGAATGGAGTAAGATGAAGAGGTGAAAGGACAAGAGAAGGAAAGAACATTTAAGAAGAAAAAAAAGAAGAGAGAGAGAAGCTGATAAGAAAAGAAACCAAATAATGACAGGAAAGAGAAAAGAAATGATTTAGGAGGTGAGGTGATATGAGACAGGGAAGTGAAGGAGAGAAGGTCAGCTGAAAGAGAGACAAGATGATAACTGTAGAGAAACACAGTGTCTGGGGAACCGATGTCGCGGTTACAGCTCGCTCGGCCTCATTTGGCAGAGAGACAGCACTGTTATTCGTGAACAGCACAGCCAAAACCTGGACACTTGTCAAGAGCGACAGGATGCCAGATGAGAACAAAAGTATGCGCTTCATGAAATCATATACATGTGTTCTGTAATCAGAGATGGTTTATGACTAGGAAATGTATCACTTAGCTTGAATTGAAAATGAATGTGAAGCAATTGACTTGTTGCACCAGTTCTGCTTCTTTTAAAATTCCTAACGTTTACTATTACTGTTGGACATTTTTACTTGCACTTAGGACACCATAAGTGTCCAACACTTAGGACACCATAGCAACCACATAGCAACTCCCTGCAAACCAATGCCATAACAACCACCCAAAACACCCTAAACGGTCTAGTATATGGGGGCATATAATAAGTAAAACGAAATCGCTAGTTAATATCACTAACAAGGCTCAAGTTGCCAAAAAAAAAAAATATATATGTTCATGATTTGTAATCACAACATTTTTTCTCTTGTCAATTCAACTTAAATCATTTATGTGGTTCAGATAACATAATGTTTTGAGTTTCTGATGATTAAATCAATCTCCTTCATTTGTATTAACTCAATTTCTCAATTTCAATGAACTTAAAATTTTAAGGCAACCAGGTTACTTAATTTAAGTTAAACCAACAATATTTGACATGTTCCTGGATCAACATATTTAACAACATTCCTGTCCAAAAACAGTCCTAATCTCGTCTCACCCCTAAATATAACTCTACCCATAATGTATTTCTAAAATCTGAGGGAAATTATATGTGAATAACACTGATGTAGAACACTGATGTGTAAGCTTAAACTTGTAAACAAACTTTAAACTTGTCCCTCAAATCTGATTGGTTGATTGGAATTTTGTTCCAGGGTCAACAAAGATGTTGATCCAGGAACATGTTGTACTTGGTTAGCATTTTGTATGTGCTTGGTTAGCGTTTTGGTGGTGAGATCAGATTTGTGCAATTGTTTCCATCAGAAAATGTCAAACTGCAAAGTTGTCTTTGTAGCTGTATGTTGTAAAGTCGTGGTTTTACATGGGGGTGAAGATTCAAATTATATACAGTAGATTAAAGCAACACGTTGTTGCTGCCTTGTCAATGACAAATCGATGCAGATCAAACTCGTACGTCTATTGGTCCTGACTACGACATGCGCCTTTCACTATTAGGATGTGAAAGTAGACTTCAGACATGCCTTTTCCTTTTTCGTTTCATAGACACCAATACAGGAAAAAAAATGATTTAACAACTCTTGGGGTTGGGTCTGTCCCCTAACTCATATCTACAGCATCTCTCAGTCTGACTGGATGTGGAACCGCTGTTATTCCCCTTTTATTGCACCAGTTTTCAGATATCAGCTGCAGTTTTGTGTCATGAGCATTCCCCCGCCTCACGTCTAGACGTTTACAAGCGTTTCTCCAAGATGTGCGGTGAGCTGATAACGTCACCCACAGAGATCACGGCTTTAATGTCAAGTGCAGATTCCGTGCTTCGGTATTCAAGGTCACGCTGATTGATATCTGTTCTGTTTGCTCTAACATCCCTTTGATGATGTAGGCCACAATATGCATGAGATGAGCAAATATGACATAGACCCCAGACTCTGGTGAGGCGCAGGACGTGGTGTAATACAGTGTGCTCATGAGTTGTGAAATGTTTCTTCTGTGCAGCTTTGCGTAGGTTCAGGTTTTCAGTGTTTGAGATTGTCCGTCTGATGGTGGTTTCTTGAGTTTGTCCTGCACGTGAAAGCCGTACCAACACTACACATGTTCTGCTGCCACCTAGTGCTGATCTAAAGTACTTCTGAGGTCATGTACACTTGATGTGTAATGTGTAGCTATTCATTCATTCATGGACCAGTTGTGTTTATAATTGTATATTTTATGATTATTGTACCCCTTGCAGAATCTGTTGAGTTTTTATTTATATGTTTAATATAATTCATGTTTAATCATTTAATCCATCCATCCATCATATATATGAGGTATTCCATACATCCATACTGTACATCTCTCATGCAGTGTTTGTTTCCATCCATCCATTCATCCTGATTATATGAAGTATTCCATACATCCATCCATCACATAACATATGAAGTATCCAGCTATACATCTCATGCAGTGTTTGTTTCCATCTCCCATCCATCCATCTGCATAATATGAAGCATTCAATCCATCCATCCATCCATCCATCCGCATTATATGACGTATTCCATCCATCCATCCATCCACCCGCATTTATATGAAATATTCCATCCATCCATCCATCCATCCGCATTATATGAAGTAGTATTCCATCCATCCATCCATTCATTCATCCGCATTATATGAAAGATTCCATCCATCCATTCATCCACATTATATGAAGTAGTATTCCATCCATCCACATTATTTGATGTATTCCATCCATCCATGCATCCATCTGCATTATATGAAGTAGTATTCCTTCCATCCATCCATCATCCTCATTATATGAAGTAATCTATCCGTCTATCCATCCATCCATCCACATAATAAATGAAGTATTCCATCATCCATCCATCCATCCGCATAATATATGAATTATTTCATCATCAATCCATCCATCCATCCATCCGCATAAAATATGAAGTATTCCATCATCCATCCATCCATTCATCCATCCATCCATCCGCATAATATATGAAGTATTCCATCCATCCATCCATCCATTCATCCACATAAAATATGAAGTATTACATCCATCCATCCATCCGCATGAAGTATTCCATCCATCCGCATAAAATATGTCCATCCTCCATCCATCCATCAGCATAATATATGAAGTCATCCATCCATCCATCCATCCATCATGAAGTATGATGAAGTAGTCCATTATATATAGTATTCCATCCATCCACATTATTTGACGTATTCCATCCATCCATCCATCCATCCATCCATCATCCATCCATCATATAATATATGAAGTCATCCATCCATCCATCCATCCATCCACATGAAGTATTCCATCATCCATCCATCCATCCGCATAATATATGAAGTCATCCATCCATCCATCCATCCATCCATCCATCCATCCATCATGAAGTATGATGAAGTAGTCCATTATATGAAGTAGTATTCCATCCATCCACATTATTTGACGTATTCCATCCATCCATCCATCCATCCATCCATCCATCATCCTCATTATATGAAGTAATCCATCTGTCAATCCATCCATCCATCCATCCATCCATCCATCCATCCATCCATCCATCCACATAATAAATGAAGTATTCCATCATCCATCCATCCATCCGCATAATATATGAAGTCATCCATCCATCCATCCATCCATCCATCCATCCATCCATCCATCATGAAGTATGATGAAGTAGTCCATTATATGAAGTAGTATTCCATCCATCCACATTATTTGACGTATTCCATCCATCCATCGGCATTATATGAAGTAGTATTCCTTCCATCCATCCATCATCCTCATTATATGAAGTAATCCATCCGTCTATCCATCCATCCATCCACATAATAAATGAAGTATTCCATCATCCATCCATCCATCCGCATAATATATGAATTATTTCATCATCAATCCATCCATCCATCCATCCATCCATCCATCCGCATAAAATATGAAGTATTCCATCATCCATCCATCCATTCATCCATCCATCCATCCATCCATCCGCATAATATATGAAGTATTCCATCCATCCATCCATCCATTCATCCACATAAAATATGAAGTATTACATCCATCCATCCATCCGCATAATTTATGAAGTATTCCATCCATCCGCATAAAATATGAACTATTCCATCCTCCATCCATCCATCCATCAGCATAATATATGAAGTCATCCATCCATCCATCCATCCATCATGAAGTATGATGAAGTAGTCCATTATATGAAGTAGTATTCCATCCATCCACATTATTTGACGTATTCCATCCATCCATCCATCCATCATCCTCATTATATGAAGTAATCCATCTGTCTATCCATCCATCCATCCATCCATCCATCCATCCATCCATCCACATAATAAATGAAGTATTTCATCATCCATCCATCCATCCGCATAATATATGAAGTCATCCATCCATCCATCCATCCATCCATCCATCATGAAGTATGATGAAGTAGTCCATTATATGAAGTAGTATTCCATCCATCCACATTATTTGACGTATTCCATCCATCCATCTGCATTATATGAAGTAGTATTCCTTCCATCCATCCATCATCCTCATTATATGAAGTAATCCATCCGTCATCCATCCATCCATCCACATAATAAATGAAGTCCATCCATCCATCCCATCATCATCCATCCATCCATCCATCCATCCATCCATCCGCATAAAATATGAAGTATTCCATCATCCATCCATCCATTCATCCATCCATCCATCCGCATAATATATGAAGTATTCCATCCATCCATCCATTCATCCACATAAAATATGAAGTATTACATCCATCCATCCATCCGCATAATTTATGAAGTATTCCATCCATCCGCATAAAATATGAAGTATTCCATCCTCCATCCATCCATCCATCCATCAATCCATCCATCAGCATAATATATGAAGTCATCCATCCATCCATCCATCATGAAGTATGATGAAGTAGTCCATTATATGAAGTAGTATTCCATCCATCCACATTATTTGACGTATTCCATCCATCCATGCATCCATCCATCCATCATCCTCATTATATGAAGTAATCCATCTGTCTATCCATCCATCCATCCATCCACATAATAAATGAAGTATTCCATCATCCATCCATCCATCCATCCGCATAATATATGAAGTCATCCATCCATCCATCCATCCATCCATCCATCATGAAGTATGATGAAGTAGTCCATTATATGAAGTAGTATTCCATCCATCCACATTATTTGACGTATTCCATCCATCCATCCATCCATCCATCCATCATCCTCATTATATGAAGTAATCCATCTGTCTATCCATCCATCCATCCATCCATCCACATAATAAATGAAGTATTCCATCATCCATCCATCCATCCGCATAATATATGAAGTCATCCATCCATCCATCCATCATGAAGTATGATGAAGTAGTCCATTATATGAAGTAGTATTCCATCCATCCACATTATTTGACGTATTCCATCCATCCATCATCCTCATTATATGAAGTAATCCATCCGTCTATCCATCCATCCATCCATCCACATAATAAATGAAGTATTCCATCATCCATCCATCCATCCGCATAATATATGAAGTATTCCATCATCAATCCATCCATCCATCATCAATCCATCCCATCCATCAATCATCCATCCATCCATCCGCATAATATATGAAGTATTCCATCATCCATCAATCCATCCGCATAATATATGAAGTCATCCATCCGTCTGTCCATCCGTCCATCCATCCATAATATGTGAAGTATTCCATCATCAATCCGTATCTATCCATCACATAATATGAAGTATTCCAGACATCTATCCATTGCATCATCGCATGATATATGAAGTATTCCAGACATCCATCATATCACACAATATATGAAGTATGAAGTATTCCATCAATCATCACTTATGAAGTGTTCCATACATCTCATGCAGTGTTTGTTTCCATTCATCGCACAATATATGAAGTATTCCATCTCATTCATTGTTTGCGTCCGTACGTGCGTATGTATGATATTCTGTCTAAATATATATATAAATATGCTAATTTGGCTACTTTAAATTTGTGCCAGCAATAGATGCACGACTCATATTTTGTTCTGAAAAGGCAAAAAATAAATGAGTATGGCCCATATGCCATGCTTTGATATTTTTAATGAACAGTGTATGCTACCTTACACTAATACTCCTAGTTTTTGTTTTATTTGTCTAGGTTTTTCTGTCCTCCCCCATGTGTGTATCTGATGGGCTGTGGATGGAAGAAGAAGAGAGAGCAGATGGAACGGGACGGCTGCTCGGAGCAGGAGTCTCAGCCCTGCGCCTTCATCGGCATCGGCAACAGCGATCAGGAGATGCAGCAGCTAAACTTAGAGGGCAAGGTAACACACTCATGCACAGATGCAAGCCGCAGAGCCAAAACAACATGATTAGCATACCATTATTTTTCTCATGAATACGCAAATCTGGCCTCTTCCCTGCAGAACTATTGCACAGCCAAAACATTATACATCTCCGACTCCGACAAAAGGAAGCACTTCATGCTGTCAGTAAAGATGTTCTACGGCAACAGCGCAGACATCGGCGTCTTCCTCAGCAAGAGAATAAAGGTCATCTCCAAACCTTCGAAAAAAAAGCAGTCCCTCAAAAATGCCGACCGTGAGTGTATTCTCCATCCATATCGCTCAATAGAAACACCAACGATTGTGTTGAGACTGATAACTGGAATAAATAATAATAACATCCTGTTGTGTAATAACTTTAAAATAGATATTGATTCAAACAGCATGTTCTGAAGTCTCTGTGGTGTGTTCTGACAGAGTTGTGTCTCTCCCGTGTGCAGTCTGTATAGCATCAGGAACGAAAGTGGCGTTATTTAACCGGCTTCGCTCACAAACGGTCAGCACACGTTACCTGCACGTAGAGGGAGGAAACTTTCACGCCAGCTCACAGCAGTGGGGAGCCTTCTTCATCCACCTCTGTAAGTCCAACACACATTCACACACACTTCTGTGGAGGAATATTCATTGTCAAATCTGTAAAGGAATACATAACCCAATGAAAATTTGCTGTATGTGACTTTCTTTCATTAGTAGAACATTAAAGATGATTTTTTTGGTTTTTTTGCCAAGTCCTTGAGAGTCAAAAGGCTCCTGACAATATATTGAGGTCTAATAAAGCAAAACGATCGGTCTGTGAAAGAACTTTTCAAAGAAAACTATCCTTGTCATACTGTAACTTGCAGATACAATACTGTTCAAAAGTTTGCCATTGGTAAGATTATTTTGGAAAGAAGTCTCTCATGCTCACCAAGGCTGCATTTATTTGATAAAAATATTAAAATAAATAATATTGTGTTATGATGTACAATTCAATATCACTGTTTTATATTTTAAATGTAATGTAATCCTGTGATTGGTAAAGCTGAATTTTCAGTCTTCAATGTCACATAATTTACTGTTCAAGAAATATTTCTTATCATTATCAGTGTTGAAAACAGCAAAACAAAACGGTTTTATTGCTTAATATTTTTATGGAAACTGGTACATTATTTTCAGGACTCTTTGATGACTACTAGAAAGTTCAAAAGAGCTGCATTCATTTGAAAAAATATATTTACTGTCACTTTTTTTATTTAATACATCCTTGCTGAAAATAACTATTAATAAAAGATAAAATGGCAACATACTGACTTTTGAGTGACACTTTAGTTCAAAGTACCAAGTGTTTTTAAAGGTGCCATCTGGAACTAAAAATCAAAAAATATTCCATATTCCATAACAGATGGGGGCAGTATACCTCCAGAAAATGTGTTGTGGCGTGGCCGCGCGCACTCTCGCGTCTTCAAACACCACAAGCGAGCGCTGTTTTGCTCTCTTTCTCCGCATATTATTCAAAGCATTTGACACGATAGTAAAAGGTCGGAAGACCACAGTTTCACGTGGAGCATTTGGAGATTTTTAGAGATCAGAGACTCAATGAACAACATCTCAACACTAAACGATGAAGACCGACTCATAGACGCCTGTCTCAAAAACAAGCTGGTGAATTTCGACGATATGGGAAAATAAAAGCCTGCGGGCTATTATTTTAAGTTTACGGTATTCGTTTTGTTCATATTACACTTTTATTGTTAGTTTGAATTAATTTGACAGACAGCATTCGCTGATGTTCATCAAGCTAGCGCCATTCAGAGCTGCCAACTCTCACGAATTCACTGTGAGACGCATGCAATTAACACTTAGCAAGCAGGTTAGTTAAGCTCTCAGATTCTGTCAATTTTATTACGCAATTCAAACAATAAATACCGTTTTGGCGCTTGTACATGTTACACGATAGATCCCTAGCGCACGTGAACCGATCATCTCTACTAGCTAATGGAAAAAGAACCCGAACACTGTTGAAAGATACAGTATGCTACAACTTACCAAAATGTATTTCTCATGCATAATGTCGACCAATCATTTTTTGAACTCTTCCCTGAACTGAAATGTAGTAGTGGGCTGTATTTCCACACGACTGACATCAGGTTCAAGTACACACAAGCCGGCGCGACTCACTCGTGTACTGCAGTTTGGCTGGTGGTAATGTTGCCCGCCCGCATACCGCCTCCCATGGCCGAAACTGGTATTACGACACCTGCCGGGCCGGGGCTAGTAATTTAGCATGCTAATTTATGTTTATATCTTGGCAGCACTATAACTTTTCAGTTTTTTAATGACATCATTGCACTTATTTCTTCTCATTCTTTTGATGCGTGTTGCTCATTTTTTGGATATTTTTACCTCAATTATTACATATGGCACCTTTAAACTATTAATAATATTATTTTGGCCTTATTACAAATCTGACCAACCACAATTCACTTGGTGTTTGTGATATTTCAGAGGAGGTTAATCTAAACTAAAATAAAACATAAACAAAATATAACCCTGAGAGCAAAACTGACCACACAGGGTTAATTTTGATTACTTTGTTAGCGCACAATTCATCTGTGCAAGTTAATAAACAGAAAAAACACAGTTTTTTGTGGTAGTCTTTAATCAAAATCCACTCCGAAACAGCGTTCCTTCTCTGATGATGTCAGTTTGCTATGAGGATGAAGAGGAAGTGCTATCAAATAAAACCCTTCCCTCTATTCAATATTCCGTTTCACTTGGAAATTCGTCACAACGCTGAAGTATAGTCAGTTGCAACTTCTGGTTCACTGGGACTTTAAACAAAACCTGCAATGCATTTCATTGATTTGATACAGAGAAAAGCAAACATTTACGAACCCAGCTAATAGCTCTTTCTCAGAAGCTGCAGCCTTTTTAAAGACTGGACATGATTTTGTCTCTTGGCAGAGGGAAAAACTATTATCTTCGAATCCATAAAGCCAGCCAATCACGTTGGAGCTTGTCATTCGGAGTGCCATTGTTGTACATTAAGCCTCGCGGTGTAAATGCAGTCTAATAGACCCATTGCTGTCTATTAAGTCATCGATGTCAATTAAATAGACAAGAAAACTCAGTGTTTTTGATTCATTTCTTTTTTCTTGACTGTAACTATTTGTGTGTAATGGGAAAGCATGTAAGCTGTTGACACTGAACTGTCTGTGTTTTGACAACCATAATGGAGGTCTGATCAGAGGATATGCTTAGTCTTCTTTTACTGTGTTTCAGTGGATGATGAAGAGTCGGAGGGAGAGGAGTTCACTGTGCGAGACGGCTACATTCACTACGGCCAAACTGTCAAACTCGTGTGCTCTGTGACTGGCATGGCTCTTCCTAGACTGGTAAGAAGCTGTCTCTATCCATCTAATGATTTTCAACATGTTACCATTTCTATTATCCTCTGTTTTGTTTCTATCTGACAGTACATATAATTAACAATCAGTTTATTCATATTTAGGGGTCACAATCAGTCACTGCAGAAAATACAATGTTGACGTCCTAATGTTTAAATGATACTTGTGTTGATACTCTTATCAACTTCCTTTCTTTCTCCCCGCACACACAGATCATCCGTAAAGTGGACAAGCAGACCGCCTTGCTGGATGCAGATGATCCCGTCTCACAGCTGCATAAGTGTGCCTTTTTCCTGAAGGATACGGAGAGGATGTACCTGTGCCTTTCTCAAGAGAGGATCATCCAATTTCAAGTGAGTAGCTCACTGGAAACTTAAAAATGTTCTGTTTCTTTCTGTTCTGTTTCCATAAAATTTCTTACCGTTGGTTCAATGTGCTGATAATGACTTCAGTGATGTTATTAAAGAGATGCAGTTTGATTTTGTTGGAAATATGTATCCGTGAAAAATCACATATGGACACAAGACCTGGGGCCTCATGTATAAACGTTGTGTACGCACAAAATGGGCATAGAAATATGCGTACGCATTTTTCCACGCGCTCATCGGGATTTATAAAAAATAAACTTGGCGTAAATAAGTGCGCACCGTAAGGATGCTCTTGACCGTGCGTACGCAATCTTTTAGAAGAGTGTGTGTTTTGGCGACACCGATGGTGAGCTGGAGTTAAGTGTCTTTTTGCTCACTATTAGAAAGAGAATCTAAAGAAAATTATACATCTACAGAAAGATAATACAAATATAATTTCACAAACCTATCATCACTTGAAGCAAACATCCATCCCTTCTTAAATGACCGCGCCACCACGCGCGTTGGGCCGTTTGGTGAAGCTGACACACATATCTAACGGCAGATGGAGTAAAACCGTAAATCTTCATTATGAGTCCAAATCATAAATACAGTCCATATTCACAATAACAGTTTAAATAAATAAGAGAACGGTTTAAACTACAAAGTATGTTTTACTTCTGATATAAACATTTAGATTAAATATGCCATTCTCATTAATGGAGTTAAACTCTTAAACTACATGAAATCATTACTGAGAAGTTACAATATATATATATGTGTGTATATATATATATATATATATATATATATTCAATAAATAGAAATAGACCTATTTGTTGTGGATGCATTGCTTTTGAACACTTTTCTTCTGGCATGCTGTGTTTTAATTTTTTAACTAGAGATTGTCTGAGAAAACTGTTTCGTGCAAATAATGCACAACCATCTCTTTCCATTAAAATATAAATCAATTAAAAATACTATTTGGCCAGTGGAAAAGATTGAGAAAAACTTTCTCTGAAATGTTTTTAACACTATTTGATTTATTCATTCAAAAACAAGGCAAGGATATAGGCTACTGTATCTGTATATATCTGTATATATAGGCTACTGTATAATGTTTGTAATAATGTGACGGCACATCCGCATTTCATATTTTCCTAACGTCTTGTACAGTTAAACTTGGTATCACGTGGATGAATAATCATATGCAAACGATATGTAGATTAGGATATGCATATTTAAACTAGGCGTTGTAATCTCCATATATGGTTATTTCGGGGAGGAGACGCATGTGCGCATAATCTCCCGCTGACTGGGATTTATAAAGTGAATTTTGCGCAGGTTCTGGCGTACGAACGGTTTTATAAATCTGAAAACTTTTGTGCGTACGCAAATTCTGCCTTATGTGCGTACGCACACTTTAAGGATGAAATCTACGCAAAGTTTTATACATGAGGCCCCTGATGTTTTTCTTGAATTGAAAGTGTATTAAAAGCTTTCGAAATAAATATATATATATATATATATATATATATATATATATTAGGGTTGTCAAATGATTAACCGTGATTAATCACATCCAAAATAAAAGTTTTTGTTTACATGATATATGTGGGTAAACTGTGTATAATTATTTTATATATATAAATACACACACATGCTTGTATATATTAAGCAAATATTTCCATGTATATACTGTATATATAGATTTATATATAAATTATATTATATATAAATATAGATATTTTATATATAAATATACATGCATATGTGTGTATTTATATACATAGAAAATAATTATACACAGTTTACCCACATATATCATGTAAACAAAAACTTTTATTTTGAATGCGATTAATCGTGATTAATCATTTGACAGCCCTAATATATATATATATATATATATAGAATATATATATATATAATGACCTTCAAACTATATATTTGTCTGTTCGTTTTAATTTCTCTCTGTGGTCTCTCTTTTTTCATTCCTGGGACCCAGGGTGGACCCCATAAATCTCCATTATATGACTGACAGACATGAACGGTTTGACCTAAAAATATCAAAATTGAAATTACTGTGAAAACAAAGACACCTTTATCTTGGATGCCATTTTCATTAATAAGACCTTGGAAACTTTCTACTCTTTGTGAGCGAACACAAATGTTTTCCGAGGGAAATGCAAATATATTGCAAGCGAAAGCAAAGTTTCTTGGGGGAAGGCAAAACATTTGCGAGCGAACACAAAAGCATTGAGAATTAATTTTTCCTGCCTTATGATATTTTCATCACCATGTCCATTGGGGTCCGTACTTATGCTCATCAACTCTGCATTCATTTTATTTTAAAAATACAGTTAAAACTGTAATATTGTGAAATATTAGTACAATTTAAAATAACCATTTTGTTTATTTTAATATATTTAAAAATGTAATTTGTTCCAGTGATGACAAAGCTGAATTTTCAGCATCATTACTCCAGTCTTAAGTCACATGATCCTTTAGAAATCATTCCAATATGATGATTTGGAGGTCAATAAACATTTCTTATTACTATTATTGTCACAGTCCTTCGTCTGCACCATCCTGTCTGCGTCTCCAGCACTACACTTCCCATGATCCTCTCGTCTGCACACCTGAACTCACTCACTCATCAGCCTCCCGTTCAGCGTCCTGTTCATCTGTATCGCCTGTCTTCACCTCATTAACCCTGATTCCTCAGTGTATTTAGTTTCCTCTGTTTCATTCTGTCCTTGTCGGTCAATGTTCGATGTTACGCTGTGTACCCCGTCTTCCTGCCTGTATTTGAATTAAAATGTATCTTCTCCGTTACTCCGGATTCCTCGTTCCTCTACCCGCACCACACCCGTGACAATTATTATCAATGTTGAAAATGATTAATTATTAATAATTATTATTAATTAATTATTTTGTTGAAACTGATACATTTTCCAGTATTCTTTCATGAAAATAAAGTTCAAAAGAGCATCATCTATTTTAAATAAATCGTTTGTGACATTACTAATGTGTTTATCACTTTTGATGAATTTATTTATTTATTAGAAATTCATTTCTTTCTTCAAACCCTCTTCCCCCAACCCCTTAAACTTACTTACCCAAAACTTTGGAAGGGTACAGTAGTTTATGGTGGACATAAAACCTTTGACTTATAGCTAGAAGGTCTCAGGTAAAAAAAATATACATATAAAAAAAAACCCCAGAAAAACAAAGATTCGGAAAGAGACACAAAGAGAGAGAGCACTTAAAATAGAGGACAACATGGTGCATTTGATGTAAATGTTAACAAACTAGTCAAGTCCATAAAAACAAATTATTTATATGGCAGGTTAAAAATTATTTATGGATTTAATATTTTGTCAGTGGAAGTATTGGATAATTTTTCCGTTACTTTTAAGTTAATGAAATATTGTTAGTAATATCACATCCATGTAATTATTTATTCAGATCAGACATCTAATAGGCGGGATGAGGTAATTTGGTCATTAAATAAAATAACATAAACCCTCTCAGGGTTATACAAGTATCCTGATCTTGTTGGTTTTTATTTTGCAATGTAACTATTGTCTTTTTTTTTTTCATTTTATTTTGTTTTGTATTATCCTTTTTCAATCCTATTTTTGAGTTCCCTGTATTTATGTGTGTTTTGTGTGTGTTTTGTGTGTAGGCTACTCCATGCCCAAAGGAACCAAATAAAGAGATGATAAATGATGGTGCCTCCTGGACAATCATCAGCACTGATAAAGCAGAATACACGTTCTATGAGGGCATGGGCCCTGTACACACCCCCGTCACACCTGTGCCTGTGGTCGAGAGCTTACAGGTAACCCATACACACACACAGAATTGAGTGTCTTACTGGCATACACTCCCAAGTCTCTGTCTGCAGTTGATTATGTGTGCACTATGTGTGTGTGTGAGCAGTTAAATGGGGGAGGAGATGTAGCGATGCTGGAGCTGACAGGACAGAACTTCACTCCAAGTCTGCGCGTATGGTTCGGTGACGTAGAGGCTGAAACTATGTACAGGTATGATTATTATTTGAAAAGATATCTATATAGGAAAAGGCAGTATAAATCAAGAGGACTTGAAATGCATAATTTTATATATATATATATATATATATATACTGTATATACTTGTGTGTGTATATATATATATATATATATATATATATATATATATATATATGTGTATGTGTATATGTATATATATATATATATGTATGTGTATATATATATATATATATATATATATATATATATACAGTATATATAAATTGTATATTTTTAATTATTTTATACTGGGATTTTTTATTTCCTGAGTAGTTATAAACAGGTATCTAAAGTTCTTTACAATACATTTATTGTATTTGATTTAGATTTCCGTAACACCAATAATTTTACTTCATTATTATATCTGAGAAATTTGAAATTTAAAATCGACTGCAGCCTGTGTGTCACTTGTGAAAAAGAAGTACAAGTTAGCATAACTTCAAAAGTACTTATTACAGAAATAATACACTTTAATAGTATATACGGTGATAAGTGCAAAATGAATGTAATGTTTTGCCACCTTTAAATGCCATTTCATATTCCTGAAATATGGTTGAAATGTACTGCCAATTGTACTCATGAGTAATTTAGGGTAAAATAAAATATACTTCAATGTCATACAAGACTTGTATGTCTGCTATATAAATATATTAATAATTGCACATTTGTAATTATGATTGCAATTTAGGAAAGTATAACCAATTGCTTTAAAATAAAGTAAAACTTTGACATTATTACAAAGTGCACTTTTTAAAAGTGAACATAAGTATGTTAATACACAGTCATTAAACATTTATGTCATTAATATATTATCTGCAGGTACAGTTTTTACCACAGTGCCACAAATAAGCACTGAGTAATAGTAATTAACAAATTAAGGTTATGATTTGATTTAGTTGCTTGTAATTATACATAATTTACTGTTATTACTCTAATAATTACATGAAAATGTGTAACAGGAACACTGCAAAATAAAATGTCCAAAAAAATACGAAAAAATTAAGATTTGAAGTTTCCAACGAAATGGACATTCATAACAAGTGCGTGCACTTCTCTTTCACAATGGAGTCCTAAATCGTTACAAACCTGTTCAATGCAACACTAAAAGACATGTTAAGATTTGGCAGGTCGTAGATTGAATGAAGTGCCTCTGCCTTGTAAAATTTGGAGTGAACAAGACCCCACATGTTTTGTTTAATCTGTATTAAATCCTTATTACAAACATTGTAAAAGCAGTGACAGACTGATAGACTTTATATTTCCTCTGAAGGTGCGGGGAGAGCATGCTGTGCGTCGTCCCAGACATCTCTGCGTTCCGCGAGGGCTGGCGGTGGGTTCGGCAGCCGGTGCAGGTCCCCGTAACGCTGGTCCGAAACGACGGCATCATCTACTCCACGACGCTCACGTTCACATACACTCCCGAACCCGGTCCCCGTCCTCACTGCAGCGTGGCCGGCGCCATCCTACGAACGGGCAACACCAGCTTGCTTTCCACGACCGGCAACATCGCGGGAGTGACCGGAGAAACGACACCCTACGGCTCCAACAGCACGTCTAACGCCGTCACAGCGTCGTCCTCTAACGCAGCCGCGGCTGTGGTGTTATAACACACGCAGCAGTGCTCACAAACTCACTAAGAGCTATGCGTGAAAACAGAAGACTATAAACTGTTTGTAAAAGTGCTGCGTATTGAATTTCAAAATCAAGGGATGGACGGGCAAAAAAGGCTAAACTTGTGGCGAGGACAACATTTTTGAGAGATGGTTCTCCTGTGCCCTCTTGTGGTTTTTCTCTAAGGAGCCGGTTTGGTGCTAGCAATAGACAATGCCTGAGAGGAAACACCAGCACCTGAGACAAGACCACAGCAATGATACATCAGCCGACTAGTCTCCTACGTTTCTTCCTTCCGCCCTGTGTGTGTGCGATTGGGTGAGATGTATCATAGCCTGGGAGGTCGAAACTCTTAGGAAAAGGGTCACATTAAAATTGTGAGTTGACGGTTTTTATGGACCAAGGATATTGTATAAGCTTTAGTAAAGGTACATTTCCCCCCCCCCCCCCTCCATACCTTTTTTATATCGAACATTATAGTACGCTTTTGTTACCAAATAGGTTCTATTCCTCCTCTGAGCTTCACCTTTTTTATTTTTTGTTTTTCTGTATATAGATGGTTTCATATACATATGTTCGCTTGGACTCCTTCAGTTTTGATACTTTGTATTTTGTAATACCGTCCTTTTTCTTTTACATGCGGTTTTAGTTTCATTGCCATTTGGGAGGAACTCAGAGGGCCTGTTTTTTTTTTTTTTTTATCATTCGTTTTTATGAAGTCTTTAAAAAGAAAAGAGCTTTAAGCAATGCGTCTGCCTTGCCTTGCATTACAATATGCGCTACGCTTCCTTTGAGCATTTCATCATCGATCGATGTGTCTAAATCTCACAAAAAGGAACAATGCCATCTTTCTATGTCTTATTTGGGAATATAAACCAGAAAACACAATATAGAGGCTTTGGATGCAACGTGTCTCCGGTAGCTATAGTGCAGTTCATTTGCTCTAGGGCGCACATACGGTTCTCACATATCAATTTCAGAAAGTTCACAGTAGTTGGATATTTGTAACGGTCAAGTTCTGACCCGAGTTTAGACTTAGTGCCGTTTTATAATGTTTCCTTTCTAAAAATCAATTTGTTTGTCTTCCTGAACATCCATTTGCAGTTTCTAAAATTTGAAATGCTCTCGAAAACGGATGATTTGGAGACGTGCTCTACCATTAGATGTGGCCTTACTGGAACAAAGGTTCCCGCTTTAGTTCACCCCTTCAAAAGGAGGTCAACAAACGCGATCCGAGGAACCACGCCTTGCATTTTGAACATTTTACATGCGATTTTTGATATTTAAACTCCCTAAACTTTAATTTTTTTTTCGTTCTGATTTCGAAGATCTAAATGTGTAATAGATACGAACATACCCAAAGATATTATATTGCATTGTTGTCTCTGTTTTTTGAATATTTGAAGAGTATGTTGAGAATTGTGGCCTCTCGCACACCAAAAGTAGGAAGCTTTACTTCGTTGGTCATTGATGTGTTTATCGTGGCCTTGGTGTCTCACCAACTAGTAGATTTCCAGACAGCAACATAGTGTCGGCCCACATCGGGTACACTTTGATTTTCACTTTGATATGGGCCAACACTATGTTACTGTCTGAGCTAGTATTAATGACAAAAATAATAATAATAAAAAAAAAAACTAGCTGTAATGAACCCATCAACCAGCACTAATAGTGTTTTGTGACTTTCTTTTTTATGTACAGTAATTTAACTTTTGAATTTTATGCATCCATTTGTAAAAAAAAAAAAAAAAAAAAAAACGTTAAGAAAAAAAAAAGAACAAAAAAGAGAAACAATTCAGCCATTTTTTTTTTCTTCATACTTATGTGGCTCTTAACCCAGTTATGTCCTTGGTGTTTCCCATCAAAACTGTTGGGTGTTTAGTGTCCGAGTTTGTCCTTACCTTGTATGCTAATGTCCGGATAGCAAATGGACATTGTGGGACTAGAAATATGAATGGCCTTTAAATGTGTGTCTCAAATGTGTAAGCATACAGCAATACTGTATAGGTCACTTGGTCTTGGTCACTTGTGTCTTGGTCTGTGGAAATAGCCACTGATTTTTCACCAGCCTGATCCACAACATATGTGGTCATGAAGAACAGAGTCATATTCACTTTCCTTTACACTTCTACTTTCTCTTCTTCATACTAATTTAATCCGACACCTTTTTTTGCGTGGATCCTGCACTGTCTTCCTTACTTGGAAAATCTGTAGTGTAGTACAAGTAGGCAACCCATGAAATAAGGCAATACTCCAGCATTGTTGGCCTATAATGTAGTTTATTTCGGGAAAACTGTAACTTGAATGTTTCTGCAAAAAAAAAACCTAAAAAAAAAAACCTAAAAAAAAAAAAATCACTTGTTGCCTCCACTAAATTTTTCTTTTCATCATTATCATTATCATCATCCGTATCTTTTTTTGTTAAAAATGGCTATTCTGTCCTTGACGGACACTTTGCAAAAATCTTCCATGTGGTAGTTTAACCTAAAGCTCTTGCACTCGGTTTCCCAGAATTCTCGCGTCACGGTCTTCTTCCATTTTACCGTGTTCTTGCGTTTCAGAATCATACAAGCGCACACTTCCATTTGGGGGAAGACGGCATTGGGCAAAAGCATGGATGCATTTTTTTTAACAGATATCTTGTTAAACGTTTACCTGCAGTCCATTTAATTTCACATATTTGATCGTTTTTCATTTGGCATTGTTGTCATTGTGAGAGCTTCCATTCAAGCAGTGTGCCCCCATTGTTATTCAAACGCTTTCCTTGATTTATATGGGATCACGACCCCAAAAAAACAGAATCAAGTGCTTTAAGTCAGTCCGCCTTGAAATGAGACAGCATCATTGAAACAGTTCCCACACAAACTAAAGAAAGCGATTAATTCAGACCGTAAATTCAGTTCGACTTTATCATGTTTTCGTCTGCACAGCACCAATATATCATCATTACTCATTTATAGCGAGAACATTTCTGAACCGCTCCGTCATTCTGATTGCTGGCTCTGTTACACGTTTTGTTTACATTGTGGATTTGCTCAGCTTTACGCCCATTTTAACGTGGTGTCATGGTGGTAAAGTGTGTTATGTTTCTTTCTGAACAGACTAATTGACAATCTTGCTGTTTTTTACGGTTTTTGAAGGTGTTGAGCTTTAGAATGAAGGATTTGTTCAAGCTGACGTGTTGAGCTGTGCGTTTAAGTTGCACAGAAAATTGGAGGATAACAAAATCCATACATTTGCATTACATCATTTTTCTGTCAGTTATAAATCAGTGGAAGAGCTCGAAACATGTTTTTCATGTAATTGTCCAAGGCATACATGTAGAGGTCATGCGCTGAGCCTTAAAAACACATTTAATTGCAAATCCAAGAAAACAAATGTTTATAGTCAGTCAGTTGGTGTCATTTATGTCTATATGTTGGTTTTATTATTCTCCATTAACTTTGCTCTTCCAAAAACAACTTTTTATTTTTATGTTTTGCTTAATGAGCTCTGATCAATGTATAGGTGATATGCCAAATGTCTTATACTTACATTTTCATGCACTGCTTTTCAAACATGGCACCAGAGGCAGCTTTTCAAAGATATCTCAATAGTTATAGACAAGAGAAGGATGGGAATAAATGATTATGTACTGTATAAAAACAGTAGTGGTTCTCTAGTTCCATACAAAGAGCTTGAATCTGTCCTAACGTTGTTTTGCTTTGCCTTTTGGATGTGAACATTTAAGCAAAGGCTTAAATATGGCACAACTTTTTCTCTTTTGCCATCAGGAGAATTAAAGGGTTAGTTCACCCAAAAATGAAAATTCTCTCAGTATTTTTACTCACCCTCATGTTGTTCCAACCCCGTAAGACCTTCGTTCATCTTCGGAACACAAATTAAGATATTTAAGATGAAATCTGAGAGCTGGATCACTCCTGCATACTAGTCCATAGGCTTCTTGAGGGATTGAAACTTGCTGGCCTCAAAAAGTTATTAAAGACATCGTTAAAATAGTCCAAGTGACTACAGTGGCTCAATCTTAACTTTATCAAATGACGAGAACACTTTTTGTGCGAAAAAAAAAAAAAAAAAAACCCAACAAAAAGAACTATTCATTAACTTCTTTCTCTGCCTCGAGTCAGATTACTAGTTTAATAGTGTAAGCTTCTGTTATTGTATGTCACACGCATCACACACATGACCAGCGTTGGCCAACAGTAGCTCTACGCAATCACAATACGTTAACTGACTAGAGGCGCATAGCTAAGGAAGTGAATAGTTGAAATAAAGACGTTATTTTTGTTTGTTTTTGCGCACAAAAAGTGTTTTCGTCGCTTGATAAAGTTAAGATTGAGTCACTGTAGTCACTTGGACTATTTTAACAATGTCTTTAATAACTTTTCCAGGCCGGCAAGTTTCAATCCCTCAAGAAGCCTATGGACTAGTATGCAGGAGTGATCCAGCTCTCAGATTTCATCAAAAATATCTTAATTCGTGTTCCGAAGATGAACGAAGGTCGTATGGGGTTGGAACAACATAAGGGTGAACAAATACTGATAGAATTTTCATTTTTGGGTGAACTAACCCTTTAAGTGTTGTTCTGCATAGTATCAAGTTATTATGCTTCTGGGACAGTTTTAGTTTTGTAATTCACCCTTTCTACTGGTTTTGCACTTAGAGAAAACCACATTTGTCTAAATTAGTTGCTTATAGTCACTTTTCATGTAAAGCAATCCTGCTGTGCCTAATTTGATGCTCTGTGCTAGGCTTTATGTGTGCAGCTCATCGCTTTCACTTCAAGTTTGTCAGTGTCTCCCTCAGTCCCCCCTTTATTTCCTACTTGGTCTGTTCTAGTTATAATATTCAGAGGTATCAGTATGGTAGCAATCTCAGCCCTTAATGGGCCGCTGATGTTAGGATCATGTGCCCCAATGTGAAACAAGGAGAATCAGTTCCGTTTCATTCGTCTGTATGTTTGATTTTGTACATATTGCACCTGCTCAGTTCCATATGTCATTAAATAATAAAACTGCAATATTGGCATACAAATCTAGAAATAAAAGTGAGATTTATTTCCATTTGTATATTTTTTTTCACAACTGCAACTTCTACAAAGGATCATGAACTGCATTTTTTAAAATATATATGAAGAGTTCAGATGCAAAAGCCTCTAAATGGCATTTGAAATTTTCTTCTTTAATGATGATTTTTATCAAACTTGTATATTTAAGTTCAGTAATTTCACCTAAATGGCAATGATAATTACCTATTAATTGTTATTTAAGTGAAATTACTGAACTTAAATATACAAGTTTGATAAAAATCATCATTAAAGAAGAAAATTTCAAATGGCATTTAGAGGCTTTTGCATCTGAACTCTTCATATATAACCTATGTTCTCTGAGGTCCACTTATTAATCAAGATTTTTACATCACAAAAACATCCTAATTTATACGGTATTTTCTCGGCATTACCTAACCTCAGGATCTATTATTAGGCAAATAGTATTTTTGCACATTTTTCAAAACAATAAATGTAAAATTATGTTGTTGTTTTTTTTCACTTAAGCAATAATCTGCCAAGTGTCAAAGTTCAGTGTGTGCTCTAAAGCATTCAAGATTTACAGTTGGACATTTTATTTTCAGGTCTATGCTCAAAAAATTATGAAGGTGATTATAAATACAGTGTAAAAATAAATTAGTTCCATACATCCCCTACAATTACAAGGTGTTAAATAAAAAACATTATCAAATTAAAATATAGTACATTCATTTAATTGAAATAAATTACTGTCATTTTTGACCAGGGGTCAAAAAGAGGGTCAAGATGCAATTGCCTTTGTCACTCTGCTGGCGTGTTTTCCAATTTTTCGAATGCATCCGTCCCCGAGATTGGTTTGCAGCGATCGACCTGAAGGACATATACTTTCATGTCTCGATCCTGCTGCGACGCAGACCATTCCTGTGCTCAAGGGTCGAGACTATCCGTACAAAGTCTTACCTTTCGGAGTCGCGGAGGCTGCCATTGCTCCCATGAGAGAGCAGGGTGTTTGTATCCTCAACTACCTCAATGACTGGCTGATACTAGCTCATTCTCGAGATAAGTTGTGCAAACGCAGGGATTTGTTGCTCCAATTAGGTATTCAGGTCTGGGAAAAGATCAAACTCACCCCCGAGCAGAGGATCTCTTTTCTCTGTATGGAGCTGGATTCGGTCCAACTCACGGCACGCCTCACAGAGGAATGTATCCAGTCGGTGCTGAACTGCCAGAGTACTGTCAAGAGCAGTTCAGTGGTCCCACTGAAACTTTTTCAGAGGCTCCCGGGGCATATGGCAGCCGTGGTAACACCGCTCGGCTTGCTTAGTATGAGACCATTTCCACACTGGCTTCAAGGCCTAGTCCAGAGGTGAGTGTGGCAGAGCGGCACACTCCATGTGACAATCACTTCGGCCTGCTGCCAAACACTCAGCCCGTGCTCAAACCCTTCGTTTCTCAGAGCCGGAGTGCCACTAGAACAAGTGTCCAGGCAATGCTGTGGTCGCCACAGATGCCTCCAACACTCACTGGGGGGCCTTGTCCAATGGGCATGTAATAGCGGGGATCTGGACGGGCCCTCAACTGCATTGGCACATCAATTGCATCTGAGGTCGCTTAGCTCCACTTATATTCCCGGCCTACTCAATTGTGCGGATGACGAGCTTTCACGACAGCCTGTGGCTCAGGGAGAGTGGAGTTTCCATCCCGTGGAGGTCCAGATGATCTGGGACTACTTTGGGGCCAGTTGTTTTACTCCCTGACCGAGGGCACCCTCGGCTTGGATGCATTGGATGCAAGTATGTGGTTCCCTCAATGAGCCTAATTGCACAGCTACTGTGCAAAGTCAGGGAGGAAGAGGACCCACGTCCAGACCTCTGGAAACTCCATGTCTGTTCTACGTGTTCTACCTCAAACAGTCGTAGACACCATCTCTTCTGCGAGAGAACCCTCTACGAGGCATGCTTGCGCCCTGAAGTGGAACCTGTTCATTGAGTGGTGTTCTTCCCACAGACAAGACCCCTAAGGTGTTCGATCGGTTCTGTGCTTTCTTTCCTTCAAGAAGGGTAGGAGTGAGGGCTGTCTCACAAGTGAAACAAGTGTTTGTTGCCTCTATCACCGCATATCATGATCTAGTGGATGGGAGATCCGTGGGAAAGTACAACCTGATCGTCAGGTTCCTGAGGGGAGCGAGTAGACTTGAATCTGCCTTGCGTCCCCTCTATGCCCTCTTGGGACTGATCTCTGGTGCTGACCGCACTGCAGAGTCCTCCTTTTGAGCCTCTGCAGGCAGTTGAGTTAAAAGTCCTGTCTTTAAAAACAGTTCTCCTGCTT